ACTGTCTACATATGATACAAAATATTAAATTATAATTTTCGCGAATAATATAATCTTTCAAATATATTTTTGATTCATATTTTATAAAATTAATCAATAGAAAAAATAAACATTTACCATATATTTTAAATATATATTATTTTTACAATACTTATTATTTACGTCGTGTATTTAATAAATTTAAGCATTATAAACATGCACACATATATGGGTGGATTCAAATATGAACAACTATCTCCTATAAAAAGTGATGGGTGATCTCAACCGTCCATCAAAATTCATCAACGATTGAGGATTTTAGTACTAAAACACACACGGGTCAATTTTATAATTACTACAAACTTCAAAATTTGCAATATTTCTAAAACTAGGTCTACAAAGCACTTAAATTTTATAATATAATTGGTTAGGATGGTTGAGTGGTCTAAGGCGTCAGACTCAAGTTCTGGTCCTCATGAGAGGGTGTGGGTTCAAATCCCACTTCTAACATTAATAATAATTTCTCTTCTCTAAGGTAAGTGTAATTAAAAAATTCAATATTATCTAAAATATATAATAAAACCAAATGAACGAAAGATAGCAAATAAATACTCAAAATGATAACTATTGACTTCCTTTTTAAATGGTGTTACTTTTCCCATAAATGATTTAGATAAAACTTTTATATATTTACAAAAAAATGTCAGATCTTTTATTATATGTTTTTTTCATAGTTTGAAATAAATCATATATTATAATCCATACCTAATTTTTAAATAATTGCTCAAGTCACTATCTAGATATGACATTAAATACTAAACTATAATTTTCACCAACAATATAATCTGTCAAATATTTTTTTTCTATTCATATTTTATAAAATTAATCAATAGAAAAATTAAACATTTACCATATATTTTAATTATATATTATTTTTACAATACTTACTATCTACGTCGTGTATTTAATAAATTTAAGCATTATAAACACGCACACATATATGGTTGGATTCAAATAAGAACAACTATCTCATATAAAAAGTGATGGTTGATGTCAACTGTCCATCAAAATTCATCAATGATTGAGAATTTTAGTACTAAAAAACACACGTGTTAATTTTATAATTACTTCAAACTTCAAAATTTGCAATATTTATAATACTAGATCTACAAAGCACTTAAATTTTATAAAATGATTTGTCATGATGGCTGAGTGGTTTAAGTCACTAGACTTAAGTTTTGGTCCTCGTGACAGGCATGGGTTCAAATCCTTCTTTTGACATTAGTAATAATTTCTCTTCTCTTAGGTTAGTGAAATTAAAAAAAAAAAATACAAAATTATCTAAAATATATAATAAAACCAAATGAACGAAAGTTAACAAATAAATACTCAAATTTCATATTTGATAACTATTATTAATATATAAATGTCATATAGTATTTAAGATTGTTGAATTCTCCTTGAAATTTTATAATATAAAAAATTAAAGTGAATTTTCTACACTAATACACTTTAATTTAATTTAAAAGTTTTCAAATAATTTAAAATGTCAATCTTTTTAGATTATAGTACATATCACAAAATATTATATATAAAAATTTTAAGTAAAACACAACTGGTTTATTACAGGGGTAAAACGCTACTGTGTTATTAGTCTAAAATAATGTGGGTTTCTTTTTATATGTTGTTACTTTTCCCCAAACTGATTTAGAAAAAACTTTTACATATTTAAAATAAGTCAAATCTTTTATTACATGTTTTTTTTTTCATAGTTTTAAATAAATCCGATATTATAAACCATTCTTAATTTTAAATTTTAAATTTGAAAAGAATTACTCAAGTCAATATCTACATATGATATAAAATTTTAAATTATAATTTTCACGAATAATATAAATCATTCAAATATATTTTTGATTCATATTTTATAAAATTAATCTACGTCGTGTATTTAATAAATTTAAGCATTATAAACTCGCACACATATATGGTTGGATTCAAATAAAAACAACTATCTCATGTAAAAAGAGATGGTTGATGTCAATCGTCCATCAAAATTCATCAACGATTGAGGATTTTAGTACTAAAAAACACACGGGTCAATTTTATAATTACTACAAACTTCAAAATTTGCAATGTTTATAAAACTAGATCTACAAAGTGCTTAAATTTTATAATATAATTGGTTAGCATGGCCGAGTGGTCTAAGGCGCCAGACTTAAGTTCTGGTCCTCGTGAGAGGGCGTGGGTTTAAATCCCATTTTTGACATTAGCAATAATTTCTCTTCTCTAACGTAACAGTAATTAAAAAATTCAAAATTATCTAAAATATATAATAAAATCAAATGAACGAAAGATAGCAAATAAATACTCAAAATGATAACTATTGACTTCCTTTTTAAATAGTGTGACATTTCCCCAAAATGATTTAGAATAAACTTTTATATATTTACAAAACATGTCAAATCTTTTATTATATGTTTTTTTTCATAGTTTTAAATAAATCATATATTATAATCCATACCTAATTTTAAAATAATTACTCAAGTCACTATCTAGATATGACATTAAATATTAAACTATAATTTTCACCAACAATATAATCTGTCAAATATTTTTTTCTATTCATATTTTATAAAATTAATCAATAGAAAAATTAAACATTTACCATATATTTTAATTATATATTACTTTAACAATACTTACTATCTACGTCGTGTATTTAATAAATTTAAGCATTATAAACTCGCACACATATATGGTTGGATTCAAATAAAAACAACTATCTCATGTAAAAAGTGATGGTTGATGTCAATCGTCCATCAAAATTCATCAACGATTGAGGATTTTAGTACTAAAAAACACACGGGTTAATTTTATAATTACTTCAAACTTCAAAATTTGCAATATTTATAAAACTAGATCTAAAAAGCACTTAAATTTTATAACATGATTTGTCAGGATGGCTGAGTGGTCTTAGGCGCCAGACTTAAGTTCTGGTCGTCATGAGAGGGCGTGGGTTTAAATCCCAATTTTGCCATTAGTAATAATTTCTCTTCTCTAAAGTAAGTGTAATTAAAAAATTCAAAATTATCTAAAATATATAATAAAACCAAATGAACGAAAGATAGCAAATAAATACTCAAAATGATAACTATTGACTTTCTTTTTAAATGGTGTTACTCAGATCTTAAACTATCTAGATATGACGTAAAATATTAAACTATAATTTTAACAAACAATATAATCTGTCAAATATTTTTTTCTATTCATATTTTTTAAAATTAATCAATAGAATAATTAAACATTTACCATATATTTTAATTATATATTATTTTAACAATACTTACTATCTACGTTGTGTATTTAATAAATTTAAGCATTATAAACTCGCACACATATATGGTTTGATTCAAATAAGAACAACTATCTCATGTAAAAAGTGATGGTTGATGTCAACCGTCCATCAAAATTCATCAACGATTGAGGATTTTAGTACTAAAAAACACATGGATCAATTTTATAATTACTACAAACTTCAAAATTTGCAATATTTATAAAACTAGATCTACAAAGCACTTAAATTTTATAATATAATTGGTCAGGATAGCCGAGTGGTCTAAGGCGCCAGACTCAAGTTCTGGTCCTCCTGAGAGGGCGTGGGTAAAGGGCGTGGGTTCAAATCCCACTTCTAACATTAGTAATAATTTATCTTCTCTAGGGTAAGTGTAATTAAAAAATTCTAAATTATCTAAAATATATAATAAAACCAAATCACTACTAGAAAACTACCCTTATAGCGACGGACAAATACGTCGCAATAGATGACTTTTTGCGACTGAAATAGCGACAATCTTTCGACAAACATATTGCTCTTGTAAAATATTAGATTTAGAGCTATTGCGACGATATTTATGACGATATTGCGACAAACGTACGACGCGATTGAGATGTTGGCAAAAAGTAGAATAAAATGTCTTAGCGGGAAAACTCGCGACGTACAATATTTCGTCGTAGTTACTTTGGCGGGAAATTATTTTTCATCGATAGCTTTGCGACGTACTAGTTCCGTCGCAAGATTTATTTAGTTTAGTACATTGTATAGATGAGTAATTACGACAAACATTTTGACGAACTTGCGACATACATAAATAATAATTTTAATATATTTTAAATTTCTATTATTATTAACTAAATGAAAATTATAAATGTATAAAGAAAGAAAATAATATATATATATATATATATATATATATATATATATATATATATATATATATATATATATATATATATATATATATATATATATTGGTGTATCAAGCTAATAAAAAATGGATTTAGAGCTATTGCGATGACATTTACGATGATATTGCGACAAACATACGACATAATTGAGATGTTGAAAAGTACAACAAAAATGTTTTAGCGGGAAATTATTTTTGGGCGGGAAAACTTGCGACGTACAATATTCCGTCGCAATTCCTTTGGTGGGAAATTTTTTTTTTTTTCATTGGTAGCTTTGCGACATACTAGTTTTGTAGCAATTATTTCGACGCAAGAACTATTTTATTTACTAAATTGTGTAGATGAGTAGTTACGATAAACATTTCAATGAACCCGTGACATACATAAATAATATTTTTAATATACTTAAAATTTGAGTTATTATTAGTTATTTCACAATATATAAATATATAAAGAAAAGTACCATATATTTTTCAAAAAATATATATATATATAAAGAAAAGGATATATATATATATATATATATATATATATATATATATATATATATATATATATAATGATTCTTACTTATTATTTTTCATTCGCGCAAAATGTGGCTGATATATATAATGATTCTTAATTTTTACTTCTCATTGCCGCAAAATATCCGGCGGTCTTTCTCTTCGCAGTCCACAGCCCTAGCTCTGTATGTCTTCTTCAAACTCTGTCTGAAAGTCTCACTATACCCATCTGCTCTCTTCAAACTCTTGTTGTCTTTCTCTTCCACACACCACAGCCCTACCTTCTGCTTCAGCTCGGAGAGAGGATATACCTAGCGCCTCACCCTCTGTATTCCAACTGCTCAACAGGTGAAACAATGAACTACATCTCTTTCTTAGTTTACTTGTGTTTACTGTATGTATATCTTGTGTTTTGTAAGCATCTCATAGTAGTTTTCTACTATTCTCAAATTTCTAAATATAAAATATAAAGCCAAGAAATGAGAAGATACTCCATCTCCATAACTATCCCCTTTATATTTTGAGAATGGGTTGGGATAATTTTTCTGAATTGTAGCCGAAAATCACTAAGTTGAGTACAACCCTTATTTTAATACAAGCTTTGGGACTGGATTTTTAAAAGATGGGAAGGTGAGTACAAATGTGAGGCTTTCTTGTTGAATATGGTTGAACTCAGAACATATACTCACTTGCCTACTGATCTTTTTCAGATGCACATCTCATACCTGTTGAGTTGCCAGAGATGTAATCCTTGACTAGCAGGTATATTTAACACTGCTTTACAATGTCTTTGGATGTCTTTAATTTCTGCCTTTTATCTAGATATCCTCTCTAAGCTATTTTAGCTAGTTGGATAGGTGCCACCATTTTGTTATTTGTGTAATTGTGTCTTGACTAAGGCATTATACTTGGTCCAATCGATTCATAGAATCTAAGAATTCTTTTAAAATATCAATAATTTTTGTATTTATTTAATATTTGTATGAAGAAATGTTCATGAATAATATTGCTATTTAGTTTCTAGAAAAGAAAATGGTTAATTCTAGATTTCATTTTGTGTTTTCAATACTTGTTTGGATTACTTCATCTTGTGATTTCAATTCTTTAAGGTTTGAATTACTGTAATTCCTTTCTCTTCCCTGCACAAAGTTTAACAGTTTTTTTTTTTTTTTTTTTTTTTTTTTTTTTTTTTTTTTTTTTTTGTATTTGTTTTACATCCCCATTAGAACAGTAATTTACATGTGCATGCATTTTCTTTTCCTATCAACCTATTCATCCAACTCTTTCCTAGACATACAAATGTAAACAAAAAGAGGAAAATGTAAAGGTTATTAATTTCAAGAAATATTAAACTCATTTTTATTGTATTCAGAATAATATGCATTTTTTTCTTGCTTGTTGCTTGTGTGTGGTGTGATGATTAATTATTTCTTTATTCTGTCTAGGTGGTTTTTTTGTTTTTGTTTGTTTGTTTAACTTGATTGTATTGTTAGTAGCTTTATGAAGTAGAGAATTTACTGAGAAAGTTTTATCGTTGTTAAGAAATAGTAATACATTTTTTATATAATATTTACTTTTCAATATTGATACAGAAATACAAGAAGTCTTTCAAAGCATCACAAGCAAAAAAAAAAAAAAAAAAAAAAAAAAAAAAATAGAAGTAGAGAATTGTTCCCTTTGAAGTAAAGCATGACAAATCAAAACCAATGAAGTGAAGTACCAATTGGAGCAATTTTAAGGTAAATAAGATTTTTGGACAAACACACAATATATATATATATATATATATATATATATATATATATATATATATATATATATATATATATATATATATAGAATAATTTATTTAATGTAATTGATTTTTTTTTCTACTTGTTTATATATGTTAGATCTTGCAAATGTCAAACTTTCGTTCTTGGATGTATAATCGGCTAGACGCATCAGGATATGTTAGTAGTGAATTTAAAACGGGAGTAGAAGATTTTTTGGATTTTGCATTCAATCATTCGAAATATATTTTTGATGACACTATCCGATGTCCTTGCGTCTTGTGTGCTAATAGGGAATTCGATAATAGAGATGTTGTAGTATACCATCTATATTCTAAAGGTTTCATTGAAGGTTATTGGAATTGGTCATCACATGGTGAAACTTTTAATCAGTACAATGATAGAGATGGGGTGCATAGAAATAGAGATGATAATGTAAATGCATACCAAAGCATGGTAATTGATGGCGTCTTTCCAAATTTTGGTTTAAATGATTTTGGTTTAAATGAAAATGAAAGGGATAATGATACTTCTGTTGGGGAGTTGCCTAATCCTAGTGCAAGAGAATTCTTTTCTTTGTTAAATGATGCCGATGAGGCATTATGGGATGGTTGCAAGAAGCACTCAAAACTTTCAGTCGTGTCTCAGTTGTTAAATTGTAAGTCAGAGTGTAACATGAGCGATTCATCTTATGATCGGCTTATTTCAATAGTAAAAGACATGTTGCCTGAAGGTGATAAGCTTCCAAAAAATTTCTATAAGACTAAAAACATGATGAGAAAATTGGGACTTGATTATAAAAAAAAATTCATGCATGTCAAAACAATTGTATGTTATTTTATAAAGAAGCAGAGACATTAACAGAGTGTTCTTTGTGTGGTCATCCTCGGTATAAACTTGTGAAATCAACTAGTACAAAAAAAGGGGTACCTTTTAAGACTTTGAGGTATTTGCCACTTATACCAAGGTTACAAAGACTTTATATGTCTAAGAAAACAGCAACATATGACATTGCATGAATTTAACCGAAGTCCAGAAGGAGAATTAAGGCATCCTGTTGATGGTGAAGCATGGCAACATTTCAATCGTACTCATCAAGAATTTGCACTTGAAACAAGAAATGTAAGACTTGGTTTATGTGCAGATGGGTTTTGTCCATTTGGACCTAGTGCAAAACCATACTCATGTTGGCCAGTTATTATTACAGTGTATAACTTACCACCATGGATGTGCATGAAGCAGCCATATTTATTTTTGAATATGATCATTCCAGGCCCCAATAGTCCCAGAAAGCATATTGATATATTTTTAAGACATTTAGTGGATGAGTTGATAGATTTATGGACTACAGGGGTAGAAACTTTTGATGCACATAGGAAACAGAATTTTCAAATGCGTGCTGCTTTGTTATGGACAATTAATGACTTTCCAGCTTATGGCATGCTATCTGGATGGAGTACCCATGGACGATTGTCTTGTCCATATTGTATGGAGAAAACCAAGGCTTTCCACTTGAAGCATGGTGGAAAACCATCATTTTTTGATTGTCATAGGCAATTTTTGCCTTTAAACCATGCTTATAGAAAGCAACGAGATAAGTTCATGAGACCTGTTGAGAAAGATGTTTTAATGGAGAGATTATCTGTGGAACAAATGTTTGCTCAAGTTTGTGCTTTGCCTGATATCATATTTGGTACTCAATGTGGTAAACAAACTATACCGGGTTTTGGAAAAAATCATAATTGGGTGAAAAAAAGTATTTTTTGAAAATGTATTTAATACAGTGATGAATGTAAAAGACAAGACAAAAGATAATATAAAAGCTAGGATGGATTTGAAAGTATATTGTAAGCGACCCGAATTGGAGTTAGTTGAACAGAATGGAAGATTTTATATGCCAAAGGCTTCTTATACACTAAGTAAGGATCAAATTAAAGTTGTTTGTGAATGGATCAAGCAATTAAAATTTCCCGATGGTTATGCTTCAAATATTGCTAGTTGTGTAAATGTGGAGAATTGCAAGATTGGAGGGTTTAAAAGTCATGACTGCCATGTTTTTATGCAGCTGTTGTTACCGATTGCTTTATGTGATTTTTTACCAAGACCCGATATGGGATGCCATTACAGAGCTTAGTCACTTTTTTAGAGATATTTGCTCAAGTGAATTACGAATTCAACATTTGGAAATATTGGAGAAAAACATTATTGAAATCCTTTGTAAGTTGGAAAAAAATTTTCCGCCTGGGTTCTTTGATTCCATGGTGCATTTACCCATTCATTTAGCTTATGAGGCTAAAGTTGGCGGACCTGTTCATTATAGATGGATGTATCCATTTGAAAGGTATAACTTTCTAGAACATATTTCCCACTATCATTGTAACAATCTTACAAAAAAAAAATGATTTTCACTTCTCTTCTGTAGGTTTTTGCATCAATTAAAAAAAAAAGTGCGGAACAGAAACTATGTTGAAGGATCAATATGTGAAGCATATTTGATTGAAGAAATATTTACATTTTGCTCACATTATTTTGAAGATCATGTTCAAACACGATTGAACCGTGTTCCTCGTAATGATGATGGTGGAGATGTAGATGCAAACAATCGTTTGTCAATTTTTACTCATCCAGGTCGACCGTTAGGGCAAGGTATTCGTAGATAGCTAAGTGATGATGAGTATAATGCTGCTGAAATTTAGGTTTTAATGAACTGTGAAGATGTTGTACCATATATTGAGTAAGTATGTCAAACTTAATCTCTATAACATATATAGATAAAAAAAAATTTAAAAATAATTCACCTCGAACTATTAAACTAATGTTAGGAAATTTGATGATGAGATACAAGAAGCAAGACCAACAATAGGTGAAGATGAATTACAGAATATTCGTGAAAAGAAATTTGCTTCATGGTTTAGACAATATGTAAGTTTTACTATTTACAAATTAGTATAAGTGATCTATATTTTATTACTTCAAACTTACTAATGATATGATTTATTAATTTATATATTTAGGTTTGCTCAATTAACAAGGATGTGGATAGTCGTATATACGAGCTATCTAGAGGTCCATCCCAAATTGTCACCATTTATAAAGGATATTTTGTAAATGGATTTAAGTTTCATACACAAAAATATGGGCAGCACAAAAAAACAATGAATAGTGGAATTTGGGTGAAAGGAAGTTGTTATAATGAATATGAACGTGACTACTATGGTGTTTTGCTTGATATCTATGTTTTGGAGTATTTTGGAGTTGGTAATAACATAGTTCTTTTCAAGGGTCATTGGTTTGGTACTGAGAGAGGTATTAGGGTGCATCCTTATAATGGTTTGGTTGAGGTTAATCACAAGTCAAGACTTGCATCTAATGAACCTTTTGTGTTAGCCCAGCAAGCTCAACAAGTCTATTATAGTTGTTATCCATGCACTCGACAAAATAGGCATAACTGGTGGGCTGTTTATAAAGTTAAGGCTAGAAATAGATATGATGGAATTTCAAACATTGATTATGAAAATGAGGATGGCAATGAATCTATTTACCAAGAAGATGAAATGATTCCAACAACTATTGCTCCATCAGATGGACTAGATGTTGAATGTACTCTTGATGGAGGTTATATGGAAGAAGTGGATATGGTTCAAGAGCAAACACATATCCAAATTGAGGAAGAAGAATTGCTTGAAGTTGAAGAAGAAGATGAAGAGGTTGATGATGAAGATGAGAATGAGGAAGATGAAATAGCATTCATGTCATCTGATTCTTATGATGATTAACAGTTAAAATCATCAAATTTTATACATTTTTTTCTCCTTTTAATTGGTTATACTTAGTACTTGTAATTAGTTTTTTTTTTTTTTTTAATTCTGCTATTTTTATTTCTATAATTAATTCATTTTTATAACTATACTTTTTTTTCCTTCTTATAGGTAAAATGGTGACTAGAGGCAGGGTAGAAAGAATAAAACTCAAGTAAGCGGAAGTTCTAGTCGTTTTGCACAAGTTGTTGTTGATGATCTTACTTCTAATCCATCACATTTTGTCAATGGTCATGGACTGCAATCTACACCTCTTATTGCACCTTTAATTGATGGATTGCAATCCAATGCACCACCTCATGGATCACAATCCAATGCTCCACCTAATCATGTTGCATCTATATCTGATGGACTCCAATCTGATGCACCTTTGTTAAATGCACCACTTGATGATCATGTTGAAGAAGCTGTAGAAGTTACTGTTCAATCACTTCATGAATCTGCCACTACTTTAACTAAACAAACAAAAAGGAGGGGGCCTAATAGAGGTAGAGCTCTACCATCTGATCCTTCCAAGAGGATCAAATTGAATGTTATAAGTGGGAGGTAGTGTTTTATTAACTTTTTATTTCATTATTTTTTGGGTATAATTATGTTTTTCTTAATTGAGAAATTATTTATTAGTAGCTTGCATGGCATGTATTTAACTATTTTATTATTTGAAGTATAGTGATTTTCTAGAAGATGGAGTTGCTGCTGACATTTCTGCTATGGTGAAATCAAATTTTAATGATCCTTGGCCAACTTGGGCTCAATTTTCAGATGATACAAAAGCTGCTTTATGGGCAAAATTTCAGGTAATAGTGTTGATTTATTTAACAAACATTTGATGCATTTCATTAGATTTTCAGCAACAATATTCTCTTTTTATTTAGCATAAGATATATAATCGTATTTTTCTATATGTTAGGAAAAATATCATTTGGATGAAGATAAAAATGAAAATGTGTATAAAATATGGTATGCCAAAGCTAATAAGGGGTTTAGGGATGCTATTAGTAGAGGAAGAAAAAATGCATGCACTAAGGCTGACATTAATCCCTATGATCCAAATGCTAACTGGGA